TGGGGGTGGCTGGGGGTGTGGGGGTGGGTGGGGGTGTGGGGGTGGGGGTGTGGGTGTGGGTGGGGGGGTGGGTGGGTGTGGGTAGGTGTGGGTTGTGAGTATGGGTACTGGTGGGTGTGATTGTTGTTTCACTGTTCCCCCACACCCACACCCACACCCACAAAACCTAGTCTACTATCAACTCAGTTCGGCTATTTTTCGACTGCTCATTTCATTTGTTTGGTCAAGTAGCGGTTATATTCCACAGCAATATCCAATGTCTTCGAATTTTATAGAAGTTTGTTTTTCTTTCGAACTGGACAGCTGTTCAGAGAGCAAGTGTGATAAGAGTGCATTTATTCCTTGTAGCTATTGTAGACGAACATGATGCTTTGAACATTTTATTGTTTGTCCTTTTCATTGATCCTATGCTATGTGTTCTCTAAATAAACTGTGTGAAACAACAAACAGATAAGTAGTCATAGATGCAAATCATAAAAGCGAGCAAGTCTCAAAGTCCAGACACATAAGTTGGTGTCTTTTCAGAGTTATGGATGTTTTTCATGGTTTAGTATGCAAATAATATATCTACACAGTGGGAGAAATGCTCTAAAACATAGAATACGACATCTTTAGGAAGTTTCTATCCTACTAAGTGAAAATCTACAGGCAAAAGTGAGATATTCAATGATCAAATTTGATCTTTCTGACTCTAAATTATGTTAAACTTCAATGGCTCAAATACGCTTTTCCATAAGTAGATTTAATTGATTTACTTTGATTCAAACCTTCATGAGGAAAAACGCTATATGCCATGAGAATCAGCTCACGGAGCTCTACAAACTCGCATATGTCCGATTCCAAACTTTGCGTCACACTTGGATACCTTCCCTCGTGAGGAGATTACACTTCCAATATTTGCCTCGAAATTAAATAAATGGAACAATTTTCAGCCTGACGGCAAACTTGAAGAGATATCATGTATACGAATTATAAGGACGACGACGTAAGTCATTTTACTAATTTTATTCCAACTCTGCTGATTTCAAATAAATAGTATGTCGCTGATCGTCAGTGTCATACACATAGTCTACAAAATTAAATTCTGCTGAAGGCCAAATCAAGAATTCCTGTTCATCAGGAATCTGAGATAAAGATGAGATGTCTGCACCACGTCTAATATTTTCTTGTACTTCAGGATCTTTAACATTTAAATCTATAATTAAAAGTGTATTTCCAAACACTTGTGCAACATCTCGACATCCACTTGTAGAAGTAAAAGACTTGAAAATCACATTCTGCTTCATATACTCTTGACGCTGTTCATCAGTGAGATCTAAACCACGATAGACTGTTTGAATGTCATTTGTACTCAATATCATCAAACTCAGGTCAAGTAAATAACAGAATGGCCCTAATGTTTTAACTCTTTCAAGAGTAATATTGGCTGGATCACGACAGACACAATTGATTAATTTGAACCAGAATGAAGTCTTTGTATAGAGTCGAACACAAGTCTCACCAACTTCTAATGGAAGATTGATTCTGCTTGCAATAACTTCGGTGCCAAAGTGTTTGACTGCTAACAACTGACTCGAAAGCTCTTGTGCTTCTTTTTCTTTACCTACAGATATCTCTTCTTTTAAAATTCCTTCTATAGTCTGATCAATGACATCAGCAATGGTTTTATCTTGGTACTGGACTTCCTGTTCATAGTAGACGTTTGGAAAATCGCCATATTTTTTCAGATATTCAAGAGTATCTTTATCTAGATCTGATTCTGGAGTTAAAGATGTTGTAGGAACGAGTGGAATGGGCGATGAAAATCGTTCTTTACGTGGATGAATGTTGTTGTGATCTTTCTTAACTAGAAGATGATTAATCTGGTGTACATTTGGGTCATCAATTTTGTCATTTTGTACCATATATTCCAAATAAACTACGTAATCTTTGTCGATTTCAGCTTGGTCCTTTTCAGCATCGTAGGTATTCTCAGTCATATGATCTTCATCATGTGTAAATAGTTGCGATTTTTTCTCTTCTTCAGACCATGAACTGGAAGCTGAGTTTCGAAACCATTGCAAATTACGATGCTGTTGAAGATCAGGTGCTTCAAATGCAGAGGTCATTTCTGATTCTAATCTGTAAGCACAATCTGAAAACACAATTCGTGTGAGTTTATATGTGAATAAAAAAATTCAATTCATCATTAGGATATTGATCTTTTCAAAATAAAAGAAAATTACAAGAGAAACGTTAAAATACGATACTCTCCCGCGTAGCATATTAATTCCCTCTTCGCCGCTGCTACTCTTTGTGTGAGATTAACATTTATTTTAAAAATAATGATTACTAAGGAAGCTTAGACACAGCGCAAATACGGTACAGAGAGCATTAGATAAGCCAGAGAAGAAAAATAGCTTCTACAAGCACTGAAAAATTCGACAAGTCTAAGAAGAGCAATGACTCAGTTCCCATCAACCGACTATCATCTAATAGAAATGATTGATCACTAAATCAAGATATAAGACCGTGTAATGAATATTAATAGATTTTCAATATAAGTATTGATTTCCCAATGTTAGGAAATCAGTCTTGTCGAAGAAGAACTTAGCACGGTCTTTTATCTATTCTTGTATTCTCAGTTTTCTTAATCCATTTTCTTCAAGCAACAAAATAATACAAAAGACAACTGTTGTTTCTATTAAGACATCATGTAACGCTGTTTTCATTTTTTTAAAGACTATCTCTTCATCATGGAATGAAAAATATTCCTATCATGCGTTTCATGAATAATGCTATATGCGCATTCTACTTCTAGTGCTGGACAAAGTGTCACGTTCCCTCAAAGTGCTTCAATATTTCAATCTCTTTATTTCAAATATTGGCTACAGGGTGTGGGTGTGGATGTGGATGTGGGTATTGCTTTGGGGTTCGGGTATGATTGTGGGGGTAGATGCAGTTGTGTGCAAAATTGGAACATCTTGTTAACAATATCTTGACGGGTGCGGAGTGTGGGTATTGTGTCTTCTAAGAGGAAGATCAATGGCCACCTATATCCACACCCACACCCACACCCTTTCTGGTTGGAGAAACAACAGATGTTCACTTTTTTCGTTCTGCACATTATATTTACTTTCGTTTTCATATGAATCATTAACATCTGTCTCGAAAATGACAGTTTATCTGTCGAAACGTCGACAATTTTAATAAAAAAATAGAAAATTAAAATATAATTAAAATTAAAATTTTCTCTATTATTATTTTAAAGTAAACAAAAAGACATTCATATTTAAACAATATGAAATTTAAAGCTGCTGTTATCTCTGTTAAATTTATTTGTCGCACTAAAACGGTAGCTTAATATTAACGCTTTCTTTTCTACTCCTTCGCCTTCGATATTTTCGACATTTTTCCTTTCGATATTTTTCCTTTCGATATTTTTCCTTTCGATATTTTTCCTTTCGATATTTTTCCTTTCGATATTTTTCCTTTCGATATTTTTCCTTTCTGTCTTTTTCCATCGATTCTAGTTATTGAATGAAATAATGTCGCTAAATGACGTTATCATTATTATTTGAATATAAAGAAAAGAAACGGAGAAACAAGAAAGCAGTATGTTCACATACACAATAAGTATCATCGTTTATTCATATCGACTTCAATATCTTTTTTTCTATTTCTACGTGTGTATTATTAGCTTTGGCTGTATCATCATTACAAATTTTCTTTTTCTTTTTTCGATTAAAAATGGGTTCAAACCTGAAGATCTTCGTCATGATTCAAATAATAAGAATAAAGTCAATCATGGTCAACTCGAAAATAATGAAGTTCATCGTCATGAAGATAAAGCTAGTCAATCTGATCAACATCCAGATAAAGATGATCAATCTGGACAAGTTACACATACAGATAATCAAGCTGCTCGTTGTAAAGATATTACTGACAAAGTTGATCATCATAAAGAACAGGATCGTGAAGTTGGTGAAGGTGAAAATAAAGATGATCAATTTGATGATGGTGAAGGAAAAATGCGTCCACTTGCTCATGATGAACCCATGGATCCTCAATATCGTGATGAAGATAATGAAGATAATTATTTACGTGAAGCTCGACATCGTGCTAAACGTTTAGATGAATTACTCAATATCGTTATTAATGATAGAAAAATAGTGATTCATTTGGTATGATTCGCTTAACATTATTTGTTTTTTTCATACGAAGAATGTTTTATTCTTTGTAGTATCATTTGTATAAGAAAAAGAAAGCTTTATTAGAATGTCGACAACGGTCTGGTATTAAGTTATTAACAGCTCAATGCGATGAACGAGAAGAACATTATCAATGTATGAAAGAGCTAAAACCGAAATATGGTGAATATTCATATAATTATTTCATTATAATGCAGTAAAAATATGACAATTTTGTTCTTTTAATTTTTAGATGAAGCTATGCTATTCTTAGAACAACATCAATAATAAAAGACCTATTGATTTCTTCACGTGATTATTTTTTTAAAGATGTTTTTTTTTGCTGATCATACAAAAGAAGAACAAGTCCTTTTTTTCTTTTGAATAAAGGGAATATGATATAAAATAAAATAAGTTTGTTTCTTGGGTTCTCGTCAGGTGAAAAGTTAAAGGTAAAAGATGCCGAGCTTACATGTAATACAATTGATGTTCCATCATGTACTTCAAATTTCATTGATTGATCAATACCAAAAAAAAAATAACAACATCAAATGATTGAGCTAATGCAATAGCTGCTGAAAAACTACTTTGATCACCAAGAGATATTTTATAACGATAAACAAATATTATATTAAGCGAATGATTCTAAGTCGGAATAAAGTCAAATAAAAACTCTCTGATTGTTAATTGTCTTGTGTTATTCTTTGAAATACTGTTCTAGAATTAAGTAAAAATAGTGCTCTTTTATATTAATTTCCTTGCATTAATACAGTTGCATTTTCTATTCGCGTAATTTATACAATTTTTATAAATTTTCTAATTGGTTTATATTTAATGGTACTGCTTGATTTCCATTTTTTGTTAGAACAATACTTTATTATGCAATCTCTAACGATGTTTGTCGTGCTTCTACTGTATCAGCACCAGTTTCTGACAATTTCGTCAACGATTGTTGAACTGTTGGAGCAAAATAACCAAGACGCAAGAGGCATTAAAAGTTTGTTCAGATATTTGATCAATATCAACTGCGACACCTGTTTCCTTTTACGCAATAATGCTTGAGTATATGATCGATAGAAATCTCTACAATTAGAATCCTGTCCAGCATGTAATACAGCAGCAATTGTTAAAACAGTACCATAATCACTAACAACAAAACCAACACGATGATGTGATTCACTAGCATAAACAATGGAAACTTATTTTAAAAAATCCCTTTTTTTCCTTGCTATGATTTCTGGTAGAAATTGATTTGCATATGATGGTACACTATTAGCAACACTATAACTACACATAATACTTGCAACTTTTGTGTCATCTAAACAACTTTTAAATCGCATCATGTCCTTGAATAAGATTTTCATCACTAACAAGAGCATCGATGTAATAATGATTTGTGTCATTCTGATTGTGTAAAATGAAGCATACCATTCACAATCAGCAGAGCTATTCAAATAACGTTTATCTTCACCACGTTATTAACTACTAGCGAGAACTCGTGCATACTGCACGGCAGCGTTTTTTTTTCGTTAGCGTATGACCTCAAGACTTTAACGTTTCACTCGGTAACAGACACACAAACACTCGACATTATGTACATAAAAGCCCTGCGGCGTAATATCCTTATATCGCTAATAACCCATGTAACCTTAGGACCTTACAGTCTTATATATCTTGTAGCGCTTGTAGCCTTACCCTTGTAGCCTTACTCCCTTATTGCCTTGCCCCTTTATAACCTTACCTCCTTACAGCCCTACTCGCCTACATCTTTACTCCCTTATAGTCTTACCACCTTATAG